TAAAAGGTGAATGTAAGAGAGGCGAAGAATGTCCTTATCGACATGAAAAGCCAACAGATCCTGACGATCCATTAGCTGATCAGAACATAAAAGATCGTTATTATGGCGTGAATGATCCAGTGGCAGACAAACTTATGCGAAGAGCGGCAGCTATGCCCAAGCTCGATCCACCTGAAGATAAATCTATCACGACATTGTATATTGGCAATTTAGGTGATATACTGACAGAGAAACAATTGCGCGATCATTTCTATCAATATGGTGAGATACGTTCGGTAACTATGGTGCCACGTCAACAATGTGCCTTCATCCAATATACGCAAAGAAACGCTGCCGAGGCAGCGGCAGAAAGAACGTTCAACAAATTGATATTGGGTGGAAGACGACTCACTATAAAATGGGGCCGTTCTCAGGGAAGGCAAACAATATCCGCAACAGAAGCAATGAGAGAGATTCTCGAACCTGTTCCGGGATTACCTGGAGCATTACCACCACCACCAGAAACTATGGGTAATAATTTTTTCAACCTGCAGACCACGCCTGGTATGATGCCGCCAATGATGATTCCACCACCGCCTGTTGCACCTCAATTTATGTTCCCGCCACAAATGGCGGCTTCAGCTGCGACGCCGATTTTCCCTCCAGGAACAACTCCTATACATTATCCAAGTCAAGATCCATCCAGAATGGGTGCATCACAGGGTATAGGCAAACCTTGGCCGGAAGAATAGTGTAATGAGATATGAGTTTTTTATGTAACTGTAATGAAATAGGACAGAAATATATATCCTTTGAATTCCTTTGAAATTACGAGATAGATATATATATATATATATATATATATATATATATATATATATATATATATATATATGGTTTTTCGACTCTTTTGTTATTAAATTTTTTATTTATGCTATTTTTATTTTTATGTAATTAATTTAAATATCTGTTGTTGGTAACACAAGATAAATTTGATTTTATGTAGAAAGAATCTCCAACTTCGCAAAGCATATTGTTGTGCATTTCTGTAGATATGACAACAGTATTGATTTTCTGTCTAACTAAAATCAGCTATAGTCGCCTTGTTTAGTTGATATCCAAAATGTGGCACGACAATGAAGTCAGATTTGATATATCTCACTCGTAATTATAAAATTTTAATTATTTTCAATTTTGTTTAATATATGTTATTTAATATGCTAAATGTAGTTATTCAATTCTTATTTCACATTTATATATCTAAATGTATCTCTTATACTAAATGTCACATATGTGTAATTAAATAGCCATATTAAAAATGAAATCCATGAAAAATTATTATAGAGTGCAATGCTTAACAGTTAAAATTATTTTTGTATGCAGTAATATGCAACTGCAATCTGGTGAATTGACTGTTGATAAACTTGACATGATAGAAGATACAAAAGGCAATGCTGGAGATTTAGGAAAATTGATTGTCACAAACTTAAGAATCTTGTGGCATTCTTTATCCTTACCACGAATCAATTTAAGTATGACACAAAATATCGTACAGTATAATTTGTAATTTAACAAAATATAATTTTAATTTATTTAATATAAATAATTTCTCGAACGGAGGAGAGTAAGATGCATAATTTTATAGGTATAGGCTACAATACATTTATCACAGTAAACACGAAAATTCTTCATACGGTAAGAAACATTTTAGCGTGAATATTTATTGCATTGTTAAAGTAGCAAGCAATTACAGCACTTGGTCAGCACTCAAATTTTTTCCTGACATTTAACATTTATTATAGATTATGTCTAAGGCACTGATTACGAAAAAAATACTAGTTTAGTTGTATCAGCTCTACTTTTTTTATTTATAAAATATTACAATTTTTTTCAAAAAAAACATTTTTTCTATTCCTTTATTATTAAATGCCACAAATATAACAAAAACTATCTGGATTATGTAAACAACGTCTCCGAGTCGAAGACATATCGAAAGTTAAAAAAATAATAATTTTGAGTCGAGTAAAACTCAAAAAAACTGCACGTGATGTCTAAAGGGGATAGTCTAAAAATATTAAAAAACAAGAACTGTTAAAAAAAACTTGTACTCGAAATCAGCACACTTAAATAAGCCCAAAACTGCAAAATTATAAGAGGAAAAAGTTAAAATTATTTTTTTTTGTTGACCAGTATTTTTTTTTTAGATTCATGGAGGATATATGCAAGCTCTTCATATATTAACTTCATTTCGAAACTGTCGATATGAATTTATATTTACGAATCACGATATCAAAAGTACGAGACATTATACTTCGGTAATAGGCGTTTACAGGTGATAATTATCATCTTTTTATATTGCTATTTATATTGCTATATTAAAATTCTTTTAAATATCTAGAAGAATTTCTTTAAAAAAGATTCGATTGATCTTCGCATAATGTTGAAAAATGATTTTCGTTAAAATTCAAAGTTATTTTCCCTCAAAATTCTATTAATTTGTTCTAAAATATTTTTTTATATGGAATCAAGTTTCGAAAAACCTGTAACATTTTATGTGAAACATCTCATATCATGGTAGGCATGTTTTAAACAATGTGTTTAAAACTGTTTGATTAAAACTTGTTTAAAACAGTGGACACTGTTTTAAACATTTTCATTTTAAACTGTTTTAAACTATTGCTTAGAACCGTTTAAAATATCGCAAATAAAAAATATATGATTATTTGGAAAAGAAATTGTAAAAAAAATCAAAAACAAACAAAAACTAATAGATGTGTATATTGCAAAAAAGTTTTTGTTTTAGTGTTTTTAGTTTTTTATCTATATTTATGTAACATATAGATATAAAAATATAAATAATAAAATAAAAATGATAAGATGGGTATTATTTTAGCAGAATATTTATTTTTGGATATTAAATAACAATCAATACAATAAAGATTACTTAGAAGATATTGACTGACTTTACATTTTTGCATTTTAAATTAATAGTATATAACTCATAGCAGGTAAGTAGTTCTAAAAAAAGTTCTTCTTTTAAAAAAAAGAATTGAGGTTTTTTATTTTTATTTGATTTATAATTTATGTTGAAAGTTAAGCATGAGGTTACTTAATAAAAATAGGAAAGGAACTAAAGTATTATATATTAAATATTATTAACTAGATCTTTTTTTCTCCAAAAATAAATATTCTGCTAAAATAATACCCATCTTATCACTTTTATTTTATTATCTATATTTTTAATAGCGTTGTCAACTTTGGCAACGTTATTTACAGTTTAACGCTAGCGAAAAATTTAAATATTTACACAGATCAAAGCTAAGTGTTTTTTGCTTGTTTAAAACATATTGTTTTTGTTTAAAACATGTTTTTTTTTATTTTACTTAAAAACACAAATAAAACAAAAAACATTGTTCTAAACAAAAAAAAACAATGTTTTTTGTTTAAAATAAAAAAACAAGTTTTTTGCCAAGTTCTTTGCCCTGCCTCATATACATATCAATAGGAGCTATTTTTATAAACCGTTTTTTACAGAGCTTACATATCGTCAAAAGTTTACAGAGAAATTAAATTGAGAAGCGGTATTATACGTGAAAATCGGCTGATTTTGTTACCTCAAGAAAAAGTACATTCTTCTGTGCAAGATGTTTGGAATTTATCTGTTGAACAGGTTCCGAATGTTTTAATTTCTAACATTTTGAATTACATTGTTATGCATGATAATCGCAAATTAAAAATAGGGAAATATCGGAACTTTTCGAATCTTTTACAGGGAAATATCGGAACTTTTATTATAACAAATATACGTTTAGTATGGTATGCAGATGTAAATCATCAGTTTAATGTGTCAATACCTTATCTTACAATTGAAAATGTAAGTGTGAAAATATAAATATGTATTATGTGTATATAATAATCCCAACAAACCAAAATATTGCAGCTACATTGCCGCAACATTGCTGCAATGTTGTAATATTGCCGCAATATTCTGTGTTTGCTGGGATAACACTCTAATATATAATAACAAACAATTGTTAAATCTTTAAAAGATATATCTTTTATTACATTAGTATCTTTAGAAGTTGGGAAAAAAATTTATGAAACATATACATTTAACATTTTTAATAAATTGTATGGTTTATATAAATTTCTTACAGATTACTATTAGAACATCAAAATTTGGACCAACTTTAGTAATTTTAAGTACAGAAGCTAGCGGAGGATATGTTTTAGGTTTTCGTGTTAATCCCTTGCAGCAACTTCACATTATTCACAAAGAAGTATCAATACTTTTTTCAGAATTCAGAAAATTTCCTATTTTTGGTGTGGAATATACATTTGAACATCAGGTACTTTATAATACATACTAATATACATTTTTCCATAATAATATTATGAGTGATTTATTTTGATTTATTAATCAAAATAAAATTTTCAATAAAATGTTTGAGATTTCTTTTATTGGAACCAAAAATAGATTATGGTTAAATTAAATTTATAAGTTTGAGTCTTAATAACTTATTTTTCTTTTTTAAAAATACTTTTACACCTATTTAAAATCAAATTGTTTGATAAATTTTTTCAATAACATCCCATAACATTAATATTTTGTTGGATGAATCTTGAATATAAGTAAAATACGCACGCGTCGTCCAATGAAAAAAAAATTAAATATTGTGTGTGTGTATTACAGGCATCTTCACAGGAGGAGGTTAACGTGGAACACTTTACTGAGATACAAGATAATCAATCTGAAATATCAAATGTGTTTGGTTATTATTTTTCCGAAGGAAATACAGGTCAAAGAAAACCTAATTTTTCAATTCATTTAGGACTTGCAGCAGAAGAGCCAAGAGAAAGCAGTACATTGCAAAATTTATGGGAACTTATACCATCATGTGTTAATTAAATTTTTAATTTAATCATTTTTAGAGTTTTAAATTTTATTTATAATTATAAATTTTATTTATATTTTATTTTAAATCTTATTTATATTAATGCCATAATAACACAAACTCATGTTGAATTTTGAGTTTCTTTTTCATTATAGAAAACAATATGCTTACAAGAAAATAGAAGCAAACTCATTTTGTACAAAGATACACGCGCACAATACACGCACATACGAATATATATACACACACACACACAATATGATATATTAATTATAGATTTGAAATATATAATTCTTGCTCAATTTTGGATTACATTTCTTAATACACTCATAATATCATCTTAATAAACAAAACTTTATCTTGTATTCAATCTTACAAAAATGCTTTTATTATATAATAAAAATAATTCAAGATCGATGAAAAAATAAATAATTAAAATAGTGTGCAAAATCATAATATGCATATTAATATAGATAAAATTATCTATTTTAGTCTGTTTTTTCTCGCAAGAATTTAACTTGGCCTGCAATTTAAAGCTTGTGTTATCGGTTGACTAAATTGATTTTCACCATTTTCGTCACCAAATTCATGCTGAGGATCACGAAATCTGTATCCCATATTCATAAGCATTAATTCGAACGGATCACTGTTCATACGTATTTGATTGGCTGATGCAGCATCATCCAGATTCTGTATTTCCCTTTCATTTACACTACCATCCTATAATTAAAATTAAATTAATAGCATTTGTCTTTTTGTCATAATATAAAGTTGTGCTCTATGAATTAAATTATGATAAACGGCTTTTGCATTTTTAAATCTTCAAATGCTAAAATAATGTATGAATACTCGACAACTTTTCATACTTATTTTTCTCGAAAATGAAACTTCAATTGAAGAAAATAATCGAAATAATTTATTTATACACTATTATTCAATCGAATAAAAGTTTATATGTAAATTATTTCGATTTATGTTGAGAATATAGACTTATTTCCTTTTTATTGTATTATTATGAATTTTAAAACCAATATTTTCAATATTTTCAAATACCTAAATATATATTGGACTAAACATAAAAATATTAATTACACTCATATTTATCATTAAAATTTTCTAGTAAGTACCAGTTAGGATAAGAAATCCTTGTCTCTTTTCTTTTAATTTGTTAAAATGATATGAAAAATTTAATACAAATGGAGAATGTATACTTTTGTATATATACATGTATATATGTGTATGAGTGTGCGTATGTACCTGTATGTATGTGCGTGCGCGTGTGTGTGTGTGTGTGTATAATTCTGTATATATATATATATATATATATATATATATATATATATATGATTAGATCAAGTCCAAAATCCATAATTTACACATAATTTACTATTCATTTATTATAATTTTAGTGAATATATTCATTTTTTATTGCTCCAATAATGTCGAATTAATTGTGTTCTATTTCTGGCAAAATAAGCAACATTTAACGGAATTTTTAGAGCATCAGAAGATCTCTTTCACTTGCTGATAATATTCATGTCATATGAGGACGCATCTTTCAATGTTCATGCAAGCATTTTCAATTTTAAAATTTTGTCATTATGCAGGCAATATGCTGACATATGTGAGTTATATTTTTTTATTTTAGACTTGAAAATTATATAATCTCATTAAGAGAATAAAATATAATTAATCAAAGAAAGAGAAAAGAGAGAGAGAAAGGAGAAAAGGAGGGAAGACGAGAGCAATTTTAGCAATTTACTTAAAAATTATATTGCATAATAATGCATACGCATTATATGCATTATATTTATATATATTGTGCACTGTAAAGAAAAAAAAGTAGAAAAAAATGTTTACCTCTGGCCATGGACTCCATAATCTGATCACAGGATCAATACCACTGGTAGCTAACAAGCACGTGGATGGATGTGGTTGTAAACAATTGACAATTCTATCATCTCCTCGAAGTACACGTATAATATTAGTAGTATTACGATCCCAGATGAAAAAAGAACCATCATCTGATCCAGCTACTATATATTGATCATTGCTTTAAACAGGAATTAATATTACATGATCAAAATAAATTATATAAATTATATAAAATTAAAAAAATGAAATAAAGAACAAATTCTTATCATACCATTAAATGTTATTTAAAGTTACCTTCCAAAGAAGTTTGCTTCTTTTATATCAGTTGTAGTATTACAATGACCACAAAATCTCATTTTGTAGTCGATTGTATTACGTCTCCATTCTTGCTCATATTCTGATATTGGAAAAAATGGTTGATTGGTTTGAGTTACATCTTTTCCTAATGAATAATAACATAAAAATGATTTTTTAAATAAAGCATTAGTAATATTATATGTAGTTTACAACATAAATTTATATACAAAAAATTTATATTTCATATTATTATTTTGTACACATTTTCATGAATGAGATCGAATAATGTTACCAGCATCAATAGCTTCCTTTATATCCATCTTCAATGCTTTACACGCTGAATTAGATGAATATTCTGGAAATTTTTGTTGAAAATTCTTGAGTACTTTTTCAGCTTCAATTGATCGATTTAAATCAAACAGACAACGCGCCAATCTGTACATATGTATAAGTTAAAACAAAAATTTAATTAAAAAAAACTTATCGATTCCAGCATAAAAAATTAAATTTAAAAACTTGATAATAAGAATGTTTGTTGAACTAAGATTAAAACTTACATTTAATGTTTTTTACTTTTAGCAAATTCTTATTATAGCTTTTAAACTAAATGTATTATCTTTTCTACAAATTTTTGAGATAATATATAATATAATATATATACTATAATTGAAATTGTATAATAATAGACAACAATTTCATATAATTAATTACTAATATGATTAAACTTTCTCTTAAACTTATCAATTATAAAAACTAATTTGATTTACCTAAAATGAGCTTTTATATGTTCCGAATCGAGAAATAATGTTGTCTGACAATCTCGTAAAGCGGCATAAATATCGCCATCCCTACATTAAAATTACATAGTATGTATGTTTTTTTTAAGTTATTTGATGTATACATACTTTTAACTAAATTATCAAAATAGTTACCAAGCACGTTTCATGTAAGCAGCTGCTCGATTAGCAAAAAGTACTGCTGCCCATGGACAGTAAGAAATTGCTTTATTGTACAAATTAATAGCTAGTGAATACTTCTGCTGTTCAAATCTTTCATTTGCCTGTTAATAAAAAATGTATTATATTAATTACAATGTAAAAATTTTTCTTTATAATATTTTATATATATATATATATATATATATATATATACTTTATATATATATATACATATATATATATATATATATATATATATATATATATATATATACAGGGTGTCCATCTTTCGTTATCTTTCAAAGACAGATTCCTGGAATCATCTGAAGATGATTTTTCCTCAACGAAAATGTCGAGACACTAATAATTTTCGAATTATAAGTGATTGAAAATAAGGGGTTTTTCGTAAACTAAGCTTTGTAGAAATAAAATAGTAACAAAACCACATTCTTCGATTAATTTTAAATAGAGTTTACATTAGTTGAGATTTAATTTAAGACTTAATTACAAAGATATATAAAGATGACAAAAATCGGGAACATGCAAAAAATGATGGCCTTCATTGACATTTTTGCTGAGGAAAAATCGTCTTCAAATGATTCCAGGAATCTGTCTTTGAAAGATGATGGAAGATAACTGGGACATATATATATATATATATATATATATATATATATATATATGCATGTGTGTGTGTGTGTGTGTGTGTGTGTGTGTGTGTATACACTATTGGTTTATACAGGGTGTATTTATAAAAAGTATTTTGTGTACGTGTACAGACATACACACAATAAAGACGTAAATCTGATCTCCAATACTGTAATTTTCAAGCCTCGTAACTCAAAAAGTACGGAATGAAAAAATATTTTATTATAGTGTTTTGAAAAGCATTCAAGATAAGAATATGTAAAGAAAAATGATGTTTCCATTTAAGAAATTAGTGGTGACTTTTATGTGATCTTAACAACTGTTCAAGGTCATAATATCATCATGTAATGCGCTACATAAAACCATATAACTTTTATATAAAATATTTTCGAAAATGTTTATTTTTCAACCCAGGTAGCAAGCACATATCATTTTGACATTTCAAATTGATCATTCACTGAGTATTCTTAACGTCACAAATTGACGTTTTTATGACATAAAAGTGACGGTCTAATGTCACAGATTCTTAACGTCATGACATAATACTGCATTTTGATGTCATAAAATGTACCATATTTTGACGTCTTTTTCTTAGCATAATAACCCGGGGAAAAAAGTCCATGTCTATTTATTTAAAAAAAAAGAAAAATTATATACAGTCTTATATGATTATATATAATATCACATATGATTTTATCAGAGCATACGTTTTTGTATATGCTTAGATATGATGTCCATTTCTGACCATTTCTGATCATAAAAAATATTAGATACCTCACGCCATTTTGTACAATCAGATATAATCAGATACTGATATCATATCTAAGCATGTATAATTAGATATTGACAAAATCCATATATGGATTTTTTTTGCCCGGGAATATATTTAATAATGTTGTCAAATAAAGCACTCTCTAAAAGTGAATCAGTGTATTATCACTGAAAAACAGTAAATAGTCACTGATTACAGCAGTTATAAGTACAGCACACTGTAAATCAGTGATATTTTATTGAAAAAACACTATATTAAGACACAATATTCCTAAAATATTGTATAAATATTATTAACAGTTAATAATATTTATACAATATCCTAGGAATATTGTGTGCTTATAGGGAATCAGTTAATAATTTTGACTATTTCAATCGGTAATATCTCAGTAATATTTCTTTCGTTAATGCCAGTAATATTAAACTATAATTCATCTCTCTATCTATTTCATAAATATAACAAATATAATAAATATAAAAATAAATATATATAAATATAAATAAATATATATAAAATTAAAAATTTTATTTATATTTACTAAATATTTATTATATTAAAATTTTATTTTATTTATATTATATATATATATATATTGAACTTGTTATTTTAAATAGATAACGAACAAATCATTTTCATTAAGTAGCCAGACATTTATTTGTCCGACTTATAAAATCGATTTAATATCTGAAGCCTCTCTATTGAGATTGTATAAGAAATTAAATCGAAGTAATATTTCTAATTCTATCTGTCACTCTTTGCAAACTTTATATAATGCTCATGACTAAATACGAGAGAGATAATACGATCATAGCGATAAACGAACGAACTAACGATTATAGGTTTTACAGTGAAATTTTCTGGTTTTACAGTAAATTTTACTTTAACAATTGTTAAAGTCTGATCGCGAAAGTCATGTTATATAAAAAATTTTAAAAGATTTTTTTATGGAATCGATATATTAACTAATGATATTAATAATAAAATAATCGTCACTTTATTACTGAAAAATGACGTCAAAATAATGTTATATCAAGACATCAATATAGTCATATAACGAATCAGTCATTTTGATGACATGTGACCAAAAATGACCAGTTTGAAACGTCAAAATGACGTATGCTTGCTATCTGGGAAGGAATTTCGATATTTCTTGTGCACCCTGTATAATAGAGAAATAAATTAAAAATTTTATTTCTAAAGATATTCATATCTTATGATACAAATTCCTTATTTAAACACACATGTAAGAAATAATTCTATAAACTCACTTGACGTTTTAATTCTTCGACATAGGGTGGCAATATTTTTACAGTTTTTTCTACAAAATCTTCTGTATAGTTTATGTTTTGTTTCATACAATACTTGTCAAGATCTTCATCTCGCTCGATTGAATCTAGTAAAACATAATTTAATGTGAATATAATAATTTTGTCACGTGTACATACATAAAAATGACGAGTTTTGTGATACTTGAATATTTCCTTGATGAACTAAGAAATGTTTTTGAATTACTTGACTCATTGATATCAAATAAATAAACTTGTTCTCCACCCATATTCACAAGTAATTCATTTCCATTATCACTGAATGTCAAATAGGTAGTTGTAATGCTCTTATTACCATCACGAGAATGCAGATGGCCTATTCAATATTTAAATTATGAATTGTATGATAATTTTAGTTATTAAGTTTAGTAGTTAATTTAGTTAATTTTAGTAAAATGATCATATTATATTTAGCAAAAAAAAATAAAGGTAAAGATAAATGATATCTCTGATTGTATAGACAAACCTGCTATAAAGTATTGTGTGCTACCCAATGGAATATTATCATCTGGATCACCTTTTCCTGCTCGACTTATATTTGCCCAATCTGAATTATCATGTATAGAGGGAGATGGAGGTAGCTATAAGTTTTCAAAATTAGATGTTATACTTAGAAAATTTATTGGCTGCAGTATGTTAAAAATACCTGCGATAACTTAATCATTCGTCGATCATACATCCGAATATAAGCATCGTTAGCGCCAATAGCTATCAGCTCAGGTTTTCTCGGATTTATGGCAATGCATTTGCCCTCCGCATAACGACCCATATGATAAACTAAGTTCACGAGAACACTGTGGTTGTTGCTCCTGCAAATATGCGGTGTACGAATGTCATATTGTAAAAAGAGACCATCTTCGCCCGCACTCCAAAACAAGAAGGGAATACTGGGCACAGTGGCGATACGTTTAATACGCTGTCTGTGGCATTTACACGTGAATATTGGTTCGGAGAGTGTTAGATCATGCACCCGAATCTTGCAGTCCCCTGCACCTGATACCAGTATGCTGTCATTTGATTTTGGCATAAACTAGAAGCAAATACAAATAGTATTAAAATAAATATCTCATGCAATATCTTAAAAATTTTAATAAAAATCATATTAAAATATTACACAAGTATAATAAGATCATTATGTAATTCTAACGAATTTTTACACACAAAATTTTCAACGTTTATATTTATTTATCTTTATATTTATATATATAAAATATACTATATTTATATAATACAAAATAGTAATATTTATATAATATATATATAAATTTTAATAATATTGTATCTTAAAGATTAGAAATTAAAGATTGATATAAAGAAAACACATAATGTTTTGTTGCCGAAAACATAGTTGTTTCAGAGAAAAAATATGTAATTTGCAATTAACAATTACATATTTTTTCTTTAGACCAATTAGTTCCTCTCATTATTTTGTACTTAAAAGTATTAAGGTAAGATAATCGAAAAATGAATATTTTACAAGATATTTTATGGTTTATGTAAAACTAAGAAATTATTTCAAGCCTCATAACTCGAAAAGTACTTAATAAAGTACTTAATAAAGAAATACTTTATTATCGTGTTTTGGAAAGCTCTCGAGATAAGCAACAATAATAAGTAATAAAAAATAGGAGGTTCCATTTAAGAAATTGAAGGTGACCTTCAATCAACTTTTCAAGGTAAAACCAATGATACCATCTTATGGCTCCTTCGAAATCATACAACTTTTGTCTGAGACATTTTTGTCTTAAACTTATGGATTTTGAGATATTTCAGTGCGTAGATTAAAATGACCTAGCATATATACAGGGTGAGGCATCTAAAACAGGCCACCTGAATAACTCCGTTGGTAAGCCGAATACAAAAAAATTGTTCAGACAAAAGTTGTATGGTTTCAAGGGGGACATATGATGGTGTCATTAGTTTAATCTTGAAGAGCCACCCGAAGGTCACGTGAAGGTCAGCTCCAACTTTTTAAATGGGACACCTTATATGCTTTTGCATATTCTTGTAGCTCATCTCAAGAGCTTTGCAAAACACTACAATTATGTTAGTTTTCATTAAATACTTTCCAAATTATGAGGCTTGAAATCATTTTTTAATTTTACATAAACCGTAAAATATCTTGTAAAATATTCATTTTTCGATTATTTTACCTTAATACTTTTATGTACAAAATAATGAGAAGAATCAATTGGTGTAAAGAAAACACATAATTGCTTCGAACAAAAAAATGTAATTGTTAATTGCAAATTACATTTTTTTGTTCGAAGCAATTATGTGTTTTCTTTACACCAATTGATTCTTCTCATTATTTTGTACATAAAAGTATTAAGGTAAAATAATCGAAAAATGAATATTTTACAAGATATTTTACGGTTTATGTAAAATTAAAAAATGATTTCAAGCCTCATAATTTGGAAAGTATTTAATGAAAACTAACATAATTGTAGTGTTTTGCAAAGCTCTTGAGATGAGCTACAAGAATATGCAAAAGCATATAAGGTGTCCCATTTAAAAAGTTGGAGCTGACCTTCACGTGACCTTCGGGTGGCTCTTCAAGATTAAACTAATGACACCATCATATGTCCCCCTTGAAACCATACAACTTTTGTCTGAACAATTTTTTTGTATTCGGCTTACCAACGGAGTTATTCAGGTGGCCTGTTTTAGATGCCTCACCCTGTATATACAGTGTGTGTCAAAAGTTCCGGGACGGCTGGATAATTTGAAAAATACGCATCACAGAGGAAAATGACCTAGACAAAAGTTGTATGATTTTTCCCGGGCAATCCGACGGTGACCTTAGATTTGACTTTGGATAGTCATTTGAAGGTCACATAAAGATTACCTTCAATTTCTTAAATGGAACCCCCTATTTTTCATTGCATATTCTTGTAGCTTATCTCGAGAGCTTTCCAAAACACTATAATTAAGTACCTTTTTATTAAGTACTTTTTGAGTTATAAGGCTTGAAATAATTTCTTAATTTTACATAAACCATAAAATATCTAGTAAACCATTCATTTTTCGATTATCTTACCTTCATACTTTTATGTACAAAATAATGAGAGGAATCAATTGGTGTAAAGAAAACATACAGTTGTTTTTAAGAAAAAATATGGAATTGTTAATTGCAAATTACATATTTTTTCTTAGAAACAACTATGTGTTTTCTTTACACCAATTGATTCCTCTCATTATTTTGTACATAAAAGTATGAAGGTAAGATAATCGAAAAATGAATGGTTTACTAGATATTTTATGGTTTATGTAAAATTAAGAAATTATTTCAAGCCTTATAACTCAAAAAGTACTTAATAAAAAGGTACTTAATTATAGTGTTTTGGAAAGCTCTCGAGATAAGCTACAAGAATATGCAATGAAAAATAGGGGGTTCCATTTAAGAAATTGAAGATAATCTTTATGTGACTTCAAATGACTATCCAAGATCAAATCTAAGGTCACCGTCGGATTGCCCGGGAAAAATCCTACAACTTTTGTCTAGGTCATTTTCCTCTGTGATGCGTATTTTTCAAATTATCCAGCCGTCCCGGAACTTTTGACACACTCTGTACATATATATATATATATATATATATACACACGCGCGCGCGCGCGCACACACACACACACACACATATGTTTGTAAAAATTTACTTTTACAGAGAATATATTCCCACGATGACCCGAATGAAGTACTAATTTTTTTTCATAACGAAAAGGGTCCCACAATATAATATCCTTATCATCTGATGCCGATGCAAGTATTCTGGATAAATATAATATTTTGAATCATTGATACAAAAATATGAATACAAAAAAATTATGAATATAACAGATACATACTGTCCAGTTTCATTCCATTCTAAACAATTAACACATCCTGTATGACCATTTAATTCCTTTTCTAAACCTAGACGTGATATTAGATTTTCGGTAACATGTAGTTTTTGCAAAATTGTATGTGTGACTGAGTCCTAAATTAATTGAATATATAACATTAGTAATTATAATATACTTAATTAAAACATAATTATAATGTACTTAATCAAAAATATATAGTTATAAAAGTTACTAATAGCTAATTATAATAGTTAATATATATAATTAAAAATTTATTAACGCAAATATAATATTTAATAATTAAAAGTTATTTCATGGCATACTTGTATTTCCCTTTGTCGTATTAGATCCACAACTCTATAATCCTTTTTCTGAATGTTAGAAAACATTGTGATGTTATCCCATTTATGTATTATTACATAAAATAAATCAGATTCCTGGAAATAAAGAAAACATATATAACTACTACATAAAAAGAAATTCAAGTTTATGCAATTTTAGATTTATGAAATTTCATTTAAATAGTTAAAAAGGAAAAAAATAAATTTTTTGTGTGATCAAAAAATAAAAAAGTTTGCTCTTTTTACTCAGATTTGACTTATAAAAATTTGCTCATTTTTACTTAGATTTTAGGCCTACTGGGCCCAGAGACAAGGTTTATGTCAAATTGTAGGGTATCCTGAAAGAATTGAAGATTTGTAGGTGTCAATGTCCTTTGCTGGTCAATATTAAGACTTTATCAATGTTGGTGCATAAAATGTTTTCATTTGGTTATTTATATTTATATGATGTTTTTACACTTTAAACTAGTAATATTTTATTTTATAGTTTCCATTTTAGAATTTCCAGAATTTTTTTTATCTCTTCTAAAAATTTCTTTTTGCATCTAAGGCATCTTCTTGTAATGACAGTGATAACAAATGTGTTGAATATTTTTTAGATATATTTATTAATACATTTGTTGGCTATATCCTTGATCTATTAATTCATTACAATGTTATGAAAAAAGAATCGAAATTAGTGATGTCCATGATAAGTACCTCTGAAATATATTTTAGAAAGAAAACATACAAACAGCAAATGTTGGGAAGTTGCAGCCACTAATATAGGTAAATATTATTATTGCCATTTAATCATATATATCTACGGTATACTAAAAACTTTCCTTATGCTATTCCTACAGATACCTTCTGGATTAGCAGTGATGTATTTGTTATTTTGGACAGCTCTGATGATAAGCCATCGAACAAGTATTAATACTTTCTGATCAATAAGTCCTAACGAGTAAAATAATGACTTTAGGAGGTTAGAAGTTCTTCCAATGGTTTAAAGATTTAAAATTATTTTTTCCTTAATACTACCATTATTACCTGCAAACTTATATATAAATGATGACTGAGCCTGGAGGAATCAAAATGGATGAATTTCTCTTATTTTATTGTTAGTAGTACATAATATGTTAGTACATAATATGCAAGTTAACTTGAAATCTCTTTTTTTATTGGAGCCATTTAAAAAATTGCATATAACATATTAACTTAACAGTCAAAGGTATCAATCACTGATTTCATTACAATTATTGAAATATATTGAGTATATGTTAATCACTTTATTTGAATCACTAAGTCTTATTCTACAATTTTTTTATTTTATAATTACATTGTTTTATAATTATGTTTTAATTGTATTTATAAAACAGGATTTTATTATTACAGCTCTTAATTTTATCATAAAATTCTATTGAAGATTCCAACAATCTTTGAATTTATTAATATTTTTGATACACATCCATTAGTTCCATTAATAAATACATAATGATAAACAAAATAATATGAGAAAAAAATATGAATATATAAAATGAATATATAAAAATATTTTTCTCTTAGTAGCCACATATATACCCATACAAATAAAATCATATATCGAAGAAGTATTAAAATTCTAAATATATAAGAATGTGAATAAACTTACTTGTTCATTTGAAGCATGTTGCACAAAAATTCCACATTGTCATACTGACTGATTCATTTCTCATTTCATATAAATATTCATTTACTTGCATATATAATTAACAGCACAGTATACAGCAAAAAATTATATGAAAATATTTAATAACTGTTACACACTCTTTCCATCAGAATTCGTTAGAACTAAAAAGAATAATGTACAGAGATACAGAGAAAAAATGTATGGAGCACAATGTTTGTGTGTGATGTGCACGCATAGTTAATACATATGTATGATATATGTATGCATATAAACACGATACAACTATTGATATATATGATATACATACATACGCACATATAGCTAGTATAATTTAGGGTCTGTTCTTTTTAGCTGCACTGCTACCACAATATATACAGTAGCGCAACTCTTTATCGGCACCTTTGATGTAGCGTGAGTAAAAATGAACTGCGCGGACTTGGTAGATAACCAATCACGGCAGTGACCTTCTGTCTCGCTTGCTTTCTCGTTGTCTCTCTTTTTAACTTATTTAGTACGTTCGAAAATATGTTTGGTCACTTCTACGCTCCCCTTGCCCCGCGAGAGAGGGGCCACGGAACGAATCGTTGTCGCGCAGTGTACAATACAATCCTAATGAGCCCAGTGGAAGAAACGGAACGCAGCACTGGGAGTTTTCAATACTGCCAACTTTATCTTTTTTCCCAACACCAACCAAACATATTTTTGAACGCACTATTAATCGAATCTCTGATCGGACTGAGCAGTGGTACTCAGCGATAGACTTCCTAAATTTCCCTAGACTAATCCGGATCAATGATGTGTATCTGAAGTAATCGAATTAGATTAAGGCTGATGGCAGAGAACTAGACGTGAGCGCTTATGTCTGTCGTAGTCGTGGACGTAAAGTAAGACAGAGAAAAACGTAAGTCGTACAAAGCCATTGTGACAATGGCCTTGTACGACATAAGGCCGCAACACACACTTTTGCATAAGCGCATAACCAGAAGCATAAGGAAATTGATTGGTCCCCAAGTATATGCATAAGAAAATGAACCAATCAATTTTTTTATGCTTATGGTTATGCGCTTATGCAAAAGTGTCTGCTGCGGCCTATACGTTTTTCTCTGCCTTACTTTACGTCCACGACTACGACAGACATCTAGTTCTCTGCCATCAGCCTAACAGTCATCGAAAGAAATTGCGGTCGAGCTGATCGAAAAAATTGTGAAAAACATCATAAGAAATTATAGAAAATACTTTATTATTCTTTTAATTAATACATCTTTATTTATCACATATATATTAATAAACAAATGTATTTTATCGAAATAAGATGTTCTCTATAAAATAAGAATAAGGCCGGTATTCATAGTCCGATCTTATATTTGAGATCGTCTTAAGTTCGAGCTTGAAATGCTACGCAGCTATTTGATTGGTTGAATGAGGTCTTAAGTCAACCTCCAAGCAGACTTAAGACGATCTCAAATATAAGATCGGACTATGAATACCGACCATTGATCCGTATTAGTCTAGGGAAATTTAAAAAGTCTATCGCTGAGTACCACCAGAGAGAAACCTGAGAGCGGCCACTTTGCTTTAACGAGCACATTAAAGTCACTAGATTAACAAAGTACCGCAATTTTGATCTCAATAAGATAAGCTGGAGCAAAAATGGCGTCCGATAGTGCAGATAGTGCACACTTTGTGTAGCTATCTATACTAAGTGAAATTTTTCTAACCTTGATCCTGGTCTGTCCTGTGTCCTGTTGTGTGTGAGGTGAAGAAATTCCTTCTGTTGCGCAAAAAAAGAATATCAAATAAAATATCGAAAATGCCAGGTTGTTGCGTGGAGAAATGCTGCAATCGTAGCGAAAAAGGCTACAGATTATTTATCTTGCCAACAGGCGAAAAAAATAGTGAAAGACGTGAAGAATGGCTGCAATTGATTGGAAAAAACACATTGGGAAAAAGGGCAGCGATTTGTGAGGTATAATTAATAAGTAATTATGTGAAACATTGTGTATTGCAGAAGTAATTATTACATCAATTTTACAGGTGCATTTCGGCGAGGACCAATTTGAGAAAAATCGAAAAGATGGACGAAAACTACTTCGCCCATTTGCAGTACCAAATTTATTATATAACACAAACAATGAAGAGGAAGATAATTCAGAAAAAGCAAAATCTTCTAATGTCATTGATGTCAAAGATATAGTTTTACATAATGAAATAATACTTAGATATAAGGAAGGTACGATTAAGGTATTAATTATCTGTTTTGTTATAACCATATATATTATTGTAATATTATTTACTTTAAACAAATATTTGCAGATGAAAACAATGCGAATAATATAAATGAAAATAGTAATGTCAATTTCTGTGGTAATGTCAATGATGACAATAAAACAGATATATCAAGACATCCTGAAACAACTGATGTAGAAATATTTAAAAAAAATGAATCAAATCATAACATCTACGATGAACAATATGTGACAAATTTAAAGAAAACTTTGACAAAGATTCAGATGCAATGTAATATTTGGAAAAGAAAATTGCGAAAATCAAATGCGATACTTAAAATAGCGAGAACATTTAAGAAAACTTTGGGAAAGACCAAGATGAAATGTAATATTTTGAAAAAAAGATTGCGAAAATCAAATGCGATACTTGAAACAGTATTCAACAAAGATCAAAGAAACTTTATGATATATAACACACAGAAAGGAACATCATGGTCTGCAGATACAATTACCAAAGCATTGAAACTTTATGTGGCCTGTGGACAGAAAGGATATGAAGAGGTGCGCCGACAGAATTTGCCTTATCCAAGCATTCGTACACTGCAACATCGCATACAAGGCTTAAAATTTAAGCCAGGTATTTTTGAAGATATCTTCCATTTGTTAAAAATTAAAGTTAGTATTCTGAATAAAATGTTTATAGGCCGGTATTCATAGTTCGTTTCTTATATTTAAGATCATCTTAAGTAAGGTTTGAAAATGTTATACGGCTGTTTCAGAGTCTTAAGACGACCTAAGACCAGACTTAAGACAATCTTAAATATAAGAACGGACTATGAATACCGGCCATAGTTTATATGGATGAAAGTAATATTTATTTTTGTTGATAAATATTTATATATTTTTATACTTAGCAAATATTTTTAATTTAAGTTATTGTATATTAGCTTATGGTTGTTTTGTAATTTAATTTCAGATACAAATGTTCAATTCTGAAGAGAAACATGCTGTACTTTTAATAGATGAAATCAATCAAACCTGATTTGCAGTATGACAATTCAGTTGCTTTAGTTGTTGGTCGACCTACAATGAAACTGTCAGGTGGATTTGATAGCTTTGATAAATTAGCTATGCATAGTCTTGTTTTTATGTTGTGTGGCATTTCCACTAAATGGAAGCAGACTATTGGCTACGAATTGACAACAAATTCATTCTGTTCACAAGAAATGTTCCAGAAAATTATAGCAATAATTCAAAACACATGATATTAGATTAATAATAAAAGTAATAATTTCCGACATGGGACCACAAAATAGGAGTTGGTGGCACATTATGAATATAACAGCTGATAAATTTAGTAAAATCAATAATTCTATTGAACATCCATGTAATAATCGAGATAGATTGTTTGTTATGCCAGAATCCGTTCACGTTTTCAAAAATGTTGCGTGCTCATTAACATCAAGTGTCAAATTGTATTTGAACAAAACTTCAATTAAAAAGTATAGCTTACCATGTAATGAAATTTCTATTATACCTATTCGCGAAGTATTTAACTTAGACCAAAAAGATACACTGAAACTATGTTCACATCTTAAAGAAAAAACCATAAATCCATCCCATTTTGACAAAATGAATGTGGCCTTAAGTGTAGGCTTATTAAATAACAATGTTGCTGCTGCTATATCATATAGCCAATAACAATATTGCTAGTAAATATAAAACTACTGCCTGGTTTCTCACCACTATGCATAAATGGTTCAAGCTCATGACAAGTCGTTATCAAAAGCTTGCACTGTCTCATTATAAAACAGATGTATACAATGATAATATCACTTTTCTGAGAGATTTTATAGAGATTGTTCGAGGTATTACAGTTGCAGATAGGAAATGGAAACCTTTTCAAAGTGGATTATTGCTTTGTACACAGACTATTCTAGATGTACAAGTTGAATATTTAGAGAAACAGAATTTCAAGTATTTATTTTCCCTAAAAAATTACTCTTTTAAAAATAGGTAAAAAAAGGTGCTAATTAATTTTTTTAATTTTGTATTTTGTATTATCATTTTCTTTTTTTTTTTTAATTAAACTTTTTAGGATATATGCATATGATTATTGCAATGTATATGATTGTTCATATTTTCAATTCGATTTTTTATAATAGATATATTACAATTCATTTAATATCATTTTTCTTTTAATATTGAAAATAAAAAAGAAAAATGTCTATTTTATAGTAAAAATTTTTATTCAGTTGGCGCAACTTTTTAATATTATTTGTATGAAATTAAAACAATTATTTTGTACAATTTTTTTTAGTTAAATTATTTTAAGATTTTATTTTCAATTAGCGTAATTTTTGGATATCATTATTTTTCTAGGATATAATGTAAAAAATTAAATCAGCTATTTTGTATAACTTTTTTTGGTTAAAGTATTTTTATAAGTTTTTATTTTCACTTAGCGCAATTTTTTTGATATCATTATTTTTGTAGGATATACAATACAGTAGTTTTTTACAGTTAATAATACATTATTTTGCAAATACATATACTGTTTTTTACGCGGACTTAGTACCTTTTTTTTAAATCAATTTTACAAGAGTATCCAACATATTTCATTCCACCGTGCCATAATATTGCTTACAAACTTGTAAAAAATTTTGTAATAACAAGGATTCATTTTTCATTAAAAAAAAGAATGTAACGATATTGTAAAATCAGCTAAGAGTAGCAGAAGTGTAGCTATGAAAATATCTGTATCAAATAAAAAATATTAAATAAAAATACTGATTTACATGATTTATATAACTTTATCTTCCTTCATTTACAAAATATTATATTACAAAGTACATTCATACAAGAATACATAACAAAAATAGGTAAAGCTCTCTGTAAATTCAAAATTAAAGTGGTCAATTAGGTGTAGAGAGCTAAGGATCAAATTAATAATGTAGATAATTAATCACAAAATATATTAATAATTCATAATACAAGCTCAAAAAACAAAACCGATATAATATACAGGGTGTTCAAAAAGTCCCGGTACGGGGGAATAACTCGAAAAGTAAGGGTCGGACAAAGAAACTTTTCGGACAAAAGTTGTAGGGCTTACTCCGAGCTTTTATCTCGTGACCTTGAGTTTGGCCTTGAGCTTGACCTTCAAGGTTATTTGAAGGTCCAAGTGTTTTTTTTAAATGGGAACCCCTATTTTTGATTGTATATTCTTATAGCTGACCTCGAGAGCTTTCCAAAACACTATAATAAAATATTTTTCCCTCAAGCATTTATCGAGTTATGAGGCTTCAAATTATTTCTTAATTTTACATAAACCGTAAAATATCTTGTAAAATATTCACTTTTCGATTATTTTACCTTAATACTTTTATGTACAAAATAATGAGAGGAATCAATTGGTGTAAAGAAAACATACAGTTGTTTTTAAGAAAAAATATGTAATCGTTAATTGCAAATTACATATTTTTTCTTCGGAACAATTATGTGTTTTTTTTTAGACCAATTGATTCCTCTCATTATTTTGTACATAAAAGTATTAAGGTGAAATAATCGAAAAGTGAATATTTTACAAGATATTTTACGGTTTATGTAAAATTAAGAAATGATTTGAAGCCTCATAACTCGATAAATGCTTGAGGGAAAAATATTTTATTATAGTGTTTTGGAAAGCTCTCGAGGTCAGCTATAAGAATATACAATCAAAAATAGGGGTTCCCATTTAAAAAAAAACACTTTGACCTTCAAATAACCTTGAAGGTCAAGCTCAAGGTCAAACTCAAGGTCACGAGATAAAAGCTCGGAGTAAGCCCTACAACTTTTGTCCGAAAAGTTTCTTTGTCCGACCCTTACTTTTCGAGTTATTCCCCCGTACCGGGACTTTTTAAACACCCTGTATATTATTTATATAGTATTAACAAAATCACATTCGTCAATTAATTTTAAATAGAGTTTACTTTAGTTGAGTTTTAATTTAAGGCTTAATTGTAAAGATATATGATGACAAAAATTGGGAACATGCAAAAAATGATGGCCTTCATCGACATTTTCGCTGAGGAAAAATCATCTCCAAATAATTCCAGGAACCTGTCTTTAAAAGATTGATTATGAGTTTTGGGACACCCTGTATATCGTTCCGCGGACGCAACATATATAAATTATATTTCATTAATTTATATTTAAAATATACATATTTCACGTTTTGTTTTATTTCTTTGATAGTGATTCAATAGTGATTTTAAACTGTAACATATGTAATATATAGGGTGGCAGAGAATTTTTGACCTTAACGAAGTTAGGAGGTAGATTGGCTCAAATTAAGAAGAAAGGATCTCTATTGTTTTGTGATTGTCGCAATAATTAACGAAAAATTAAATAAAGAAGATCGGCCAATGCGCGTGGCCAGAAGCACACGCGAAGGCGGTCTGACTGTAACATAATGGCGGCGCGCGGCGAAACGGTGATTGGAGAGGGGAGGAACGATGAGTGTGTAAGCGCGTGGCGAAAGCTCCTCCCCTCCCCAATAATCGCTTCGCTGCGAGCCGCCATTATGTTACAGTCAGACTGCCTTCACCGTCGTGTGCTTCTAGCCACGTGCATTGGCCGATCTTCTTTATTTAATTTGGCGTTAAATATTACGACAATCACAAAACAATAGAGATCATTCCTTCTTAATTTGAGTCAATCTACTTTCTTATTTCGTCAAGATCGAAAATTGACGGACTCCCTGTACGTACTTATAAAAAATATTCCGTTATATTTAAATAATTAAAACATTTATAAAATTTATTATTAATTAATATTTTCAGATACTTCTTATATTTTATAAAACATTTCATATTAATATATTTATTTAAATATTTCATATATAAAAAAATGGAAATTTTTTTATTTATCATATTTTTAAAAATTTAATCTTTTATCTATAAGAAATATAAATTATTTTGTAATTACGCGAATTAATTGCGCGCAATAATTAGTTTTAAAATCAATTATTTTGAGCATTGCTTTATACAGGATGTCCGTCGATTTTCGACCAAAATGAAATAAATAAGTAGATTGGCTCGAAATAAGAAGGAATGACCTGTATTGTTTTGGGATTGTCGCAATAATTAACGAAATATTAAATAAAACAGATCGGCCAATCTGCGTGAGTAAAAGCGCGCGGCGACGAGAGTCATCCCGTAATCCGATACTACGAGCGCGGCGAAGCGGTGGGCGGGTCGCTCTCCGAGACATGATGGTGGTTTGCGATATATCGCAATACCGCGCCGAAAAATGACCCGTCCCTCCTTTTCGTGGCGAGAAAATGATGCGCTATCATTTCCACACCACCTTGCGGTAGATAGCATGGTGCGCTTTTTTTATAGTGGTTTCCCCCATAGGTCTATTCCACTCTCAATTTAAAAATTATTCAAAATGCCATTTACTATACGCTGAATATATCGTAAATGTAAAAAATTAATGGACAGTACCTTTAAAAAAATTGATTCGTGGTTGAAAATCCCTCGATAAAATGTATTGCACACGTTGATAATGTGATACGATGATAAAATTCTTCAAGAATCCTTTCTTCATCTCGTACACGAAGACGCACTGCTGGACCGGTTATCCCGATATTATGCACGACACTCAGTTTCACATAATTATTGCACAACACGTAAAATTGTACGGCCACTTGGTTTTCGTGCACGCCCGAGAAATGATTCCATGTAAATTGCGGCCGCACGATAAGTATTTTCTCCCGCTATTTTCTCCGTATGCCACAATCATATCCGTATATTCCTGCAGAGTACACTTCATTTTCTCTGTTAATTTACTACGCAAACACAAGATTTTTATTAAAACGTCTTAGCTCTCGCACGCTGTTACCAGACTGCGTACGCCAGCAGTACGCAACTACAGCTGACAGCTGAGCGGACTGTGAAGATGCGGCCTCATTAACGCTAAAAAGTAGCGTCAACCATTGGTTGAACAATGAAGCAACTATACTTACCTCCTTGTTTAACCAATGATTGACGCTACTTTTTAGCGTCAATGAGGCCGCACCTTGAGTGTAATCATAGCGCAGGCGTCGAACTCACACGTACACTGCGCGACAACGATTCGTTCCGTGGCCCCTCTCTCACGGGGCAAGGGGAGCGTAGAAGTGACCAATCAGCTGGCAGCGTGGCAATGGCTGATTGGTTAGAAGCTACGCTCCCCTTGCCTCGCGAGAGGGACCACGGAACGAATCGTTGTCGCGCAGTATACGCTTACACTCACATGTCCGCTCAGCTGTCAGCTGTAGTTGCGTGCTGCTGGCGTACGCAGTCTGGTAACAGCGTGCGAGAGCTAAGACGTTTTAATAAAAATCTTGTGTTTGCGTAGTAAATTAACAGAGAAAATGAAGTGTACTCTGCAGGAATATACGGACATGATTGTGGCATACGGAGAAAATAGCGGGAGAAAATACTTATCGTGCGGCCGTAATTTACATGGAATCATTTCTCGGGCGTGCACGAAAACCAAGTGGCCGTACAATTTTACGTGTTGTGCAATAATTATGTGAAACTGAGTGTCGTGCATCATATCGGGATAACCGGTCCAGCAGTGCGTCTTCGTGTACGAGATGAAGAAAGGATTCTTGAAGAATTTTATCATCGTATCACATTATCAACGTGTGCAATACATTTTATCGAGGG